GAACTCATGCGGAAGTGGTTTTTGCTTTTTTGTGCTGTGCTTTAACCCACTGCGCCACCAGGGAGGGCCAGAACCAGGTACCTTAAAGTAACTAACTCAGCAAATGTCAGCTGTTTTTACCCACAAAGTACAGAAGACCTGCCGTACCAATTGCCCGGCTGTAGGCCACTGTTTCCACCACGGGTCTACTTGCTCATAGCCAAGAGCCCTTGCAGTAACAGCCACTCCCAGTTCAATGGTGGGAATGCTGCCCGTGTATCCAATTTTCAGACTCATCTGCCGCCCTCTCTTCTCCTGCAGGTCAACCTGGGAAACCCGGGGCAGGAAGGAAGAACTGCGGGTGTATGATAATGGAGTCATAGGACCTAGAGGCTTCGTTCTGAGTAAATCATCTCTAGACTGGTGCCTTCAACTCTGCACTGTGTTAACTGAGGCTGACAAAGGGTTACAAAGCGTGGTTATCTCCTCTGGGGTACAGTTGCTTGTCTGGAAGCAACTAATAGACAATTTGAAGGACAGGCCAAAGGTCTGAAGACAGCTGGATAGATAAGAGGCAGACAGGACAACTGGAGAATGTTCTAAGAGCCCAGCTGCCTTTCTAAGCTACCTGGAGAGTCATTCTTGAATCCTAGTTCAGAGATGTGCTTAACACTTATGACATGCTTGAGGAAACCAGAAAAGGCCTGGTGAATTAGGCAAGGTATGTGTATAAGGCAGATTGAGAACATATCAATGCTACCCCCAAAATAGCTGAGAGAAAAGTTCTGGATATGCCTTTTGGTTTCCAGGGAACTCCAATCATCAAACATGGAGCATTTCTTAAGGGATTTCTCCACACCGTAACGCCCACACATCTCTAAGCTATCCAGGAGGTGAGCAGTTTTAAGAATTGCAATCCTGAGCACAGTCTGGTCTGACATCGTCTTGTCGGAAGAACTGAAGCATATTTAGATGCTCTTAGCTGCTCACTTTTTCGAGACCACATTATTTCTGGTCATTTGGGGGAGGGAGGAAAACCCAAACAAGAATATTGTCTTGGTTTTAGAAAACCCTACTAATTAATTGCCAATGCTTAAGAGAAATTCTTAGAAAATAAAGGGTTCAAAGCAAATTAACACTGGGAAAAAAAAAAAAACTAGCATGCTTAAAGGAGAAAAGAAACAGTTGATTAAATTTGTTCCATCAAGCAACCTCCCCAGAGACAGAGAAATTAAATTTTCAACAATACCGCCAGCTCCCAACAGCTGCAAGGAGCCAGGCACTCCTGCCTGGCCTTGGGGGAGCAGGCTGGGAACCCACCTACAAAGGCGTCGCGTACTGACCAGCTCACCTGAAGCCAGTTAAGGGAAAGCTTTGGTGAGTCACATTCAGTCCTCCAGGCGGAGGCAGCAAGGGTCAAAGCAGTGCTTTGGGTTTCGGACAGCACGGGTATAAATGGGAGATACAGAGGGCTGGCGTGTCATGGACCATGAAAGATATCTGACAACGCTCCATGCCGAGTTAAGGACGCAGTGAGTGCTCCTACTGCTGAAGCACGGTGTTTTGAGATGGGCATGACGACTTCTTTCTGTAAAAACAACTTTATAAATCCAGAGATGGAAGTCCTGGGAGAGGGCCAAGTTAGTCATTCTTCCCAGCTGCTGTTGCCACATGTTGAAAGGGACCCGTGTCCTGAGTCAGACTTTCCATGGATGGAACTTTCAGCATTGTACATAAGCTAGCGTTCCTCACAATAACCCCCTCCAGCCCCCCAGCCAGCAAGAGACGGTCTCCCTGGTACACACACCTGCCCAGGGACTCCAGCTGCCAAGGCAGACCTACCTCCGAGGGGTGCAGTCCTCATGAGGGGGGATAATGACGACTTTCACTGTGACAGATGTTCTCAGGAGGTCAATCATCTGCTCATGGCTCAGGGTAGCCACTGCCACCTTGCAGATCTCCACCAGCCGGCTGCCCTGCCTCAGCCCTGCTTGCCAGGCGTAGCCGTAGGGCTCCACGTCTGCCACGATGCCCTCGTAGTTAACATGGAAGCCAAGCTGCCCTAGCCCATTCCTTCGCAGAGTCATCTCCACCGACTCACAACCTTTTGACACAAACTAGACCAGAAAACAAAAGATATCAGGATTTGATGTAGCACAGTATTAAGTCGTCAACATGGAACTGGAAAAAAAAAAAACAACCAACATTGTAATCAGGCTTCTTTCTAAATGCCCTACTGTCAGCAAAGAGCCGTCTGGTTACTTCCCCTTCACCGATCTCTATTTCACTAGGCCAAAAAGAACACACTTGTCCCATCCAATGAACTCAATAGCTTCAGTCAAGTTCCAAGGAGACCGCTAACAGAGACCTACAGTAGGGAGCCGGCAGCTGGCAGAGCTGACACTTCTGCTCCTCATTTCACCCTTAAAACTCCCAGGCAGCAGACACTCTATCAAACAATTCTTTTCAACAACTCAAGCAGACTGGCGGGGCTCCATCATCAGTCAGCAAGGCAGTAGGCGCAGGTGACATGCAAATGGATTTCCAATGCACACACACCATAAATGTGTCTTTCCCCACTTGTCCTACTACTACTTTTCTTTCTGAAAAGTGAAGGGAAGTAAGTGTGCTTCACATTATCAAGAGGGGTTTTCAGTGGAACTGAAAGCTTCAGTGACTTGGCTCCTGTCTGTACTGAAAGAAAGCTTTATGAAAGGGAAATTGCATGTAGGCAAGCAAAAAGGAAAAGGCTCACCTGCAACCTTTTTACGATCTCCTTGATGTCCTCACTGCTAACAAAACTCTCCACGGATACACACTCTCCTCGCTCGTAGAAGATTTTGAGGCTGGTGTCAGATGAAGTCCACCCAATCACGTCTCTGCAGGAACAGTTGAAAACCACACTCTTAGTTTCTTGCTCGATGAGAACAATGAACTCGTTGGACACCCCTAACAGGCAGTCCATTTCCACAGCCTTGTTGTAGTCTTTGGCGCGAATCGTCCACACTATGGCCCCCATGCTGCTGAGCTCCGCTCCCGGATAGGGCTTAGATTTCTCCTTCTTCTTGGAGGCCAGAGAGATGAAAGGGAACTTGCCAGAAGGGTCGATAGGGGTGTTGGTGACATTCTTTTCTGCCAGATCTTTCAGGTACTCCTGGCGGGTCCGTGTGGCCATGGCCCGGAACTTTTCCGATTTATGAGCAGCGTTTTCTGCGTTGATGACTTTCGCCAAAAGGAAGTCCCTGAACACATTTGACTTAGGGAAAGTGACTCCTTTGGGGATGGGAGGTCCAAAGGAAGGTACATCTCTGGACCTGGTGACGGCCACACTAACAGGCAAAGAGCAGAGAGAAGCAACATGTCATTATTTCTCAGTCCCATGGTAGAATAAAAAATAAGTAAAATTACAGACAAAGATGAACTTGAGATGAGAAAAAAAATGCTCATTTTCCCACAAGGAACAACACATATTTCTGTCTAACATAAACACACTTTTTTCACTCAACCACAAAAGACTTACAGAATATCAAATTTTTCTTAAGCCACAATATACCCCAAAAGCTCAAAGTGAAACCTTTCTTTTTACTGACAAGCAATAAGCCAACTATAATACCATGGGGGAAAAAATGTTTATTGTAACATTCTGCAAAAAAACAGCAATATTGCTTTAAAAATGGTGTTTTTAATGGAACTGTTATTTGGTCCAAATTCTTTAGTTTTGGCACTTGAATCTCACAATTTATTTTTCCTTCTGCAAAACAAATTTAAGGAAGCCTATTCCAGTCACTCTTTCTGCACATGTATGGCTAACGTTGGGCCTAAGACAATCGTAGCAGCGACAGAAATTAAGTGAAGCAGAGAGAGGTTGTGTGTTTTAGATCAAGTTCCAAGATCTCATTCAAGGACCTCAGTAAAGCCTGAGAGAGCTGGAAGGATGGCTCCAACAAATGCAAATATCCTTCTTTCCAATGATCTATTAACTTAAAACAACTGTACTATGACTAAGGGGAGCAGTACAAAAGGCACTTCTTCTCAGCTCCCTGACGGGAAAGAAAAACATCAGAGAGTGCATCTTTCAAATTAATTTGAAGAGTTCTGGTTCATTATTTTTCTTCATTTTATGATGGGTTTACTTTAGGTTTTTCAGCTTTGCTTTTTAGAAAATGATTACTTCTTGAAAAAATAGAATAAATAAAAATTAGGAACCTCAGAAGAAAACAAATATTTTGTCAGAAGATGTCATGAGATGGCCTATAGATTGTTTTGCACAAATTTATTAAAAAAGAGAGAGACTATCTAGTTCACTGCCTCACAAGAGAGGCAAGCAACACTCTATTTTTCTAGGGGCATTCACGGAAACTTCCATATGCATTACATCCTAATTATACAAGTAGGAGAAAGGCAATTTTTCTTGCCTGTTGTAAATTTTCTTGCTCAGTGATGACAGCTATACATTTTTTTAAAAGATGTTATTTATTTATTTGTGCATAGAAGAACTGGAATGTAGACTAGAGGTGTTGGGGGGGAGGGTGAGAGGATTCACCAGGGACAGAGTGGGGAGCACTGGAGGTGGACTGACTGATCTACACTGCTGAGGGGAGTAGTGGGCGAGACAGAAGAGGCCTGCTGCACCATATGTGGGTCAGCTCCCTGGCTGGGGGTTGAACACAGGCCATTCTGGTAATAGCGCTGAGACTTAACCCCTAGGCTACCAGGGAGGCCTGACAGGTACCTAATTTAAACGTGCTATTTTTTTAAGTCAACCAAAAGATGCTAAAGTATAGTATGTTAGATTTTCTAATATGTATAATAAAAAGATCCAGAAATTCTACTTTCATTGTTTAAATTGGTAATTTCTTCCCTTTCTGTTCACTTTAAATCAGTTTTCTTTCTCAAGAAACAACTGCAATTTTATTTTAAGCAAGGAGAGAGGAAAGTGCTTAGCAGTAGGTGTCAATATGACACCATCCAGTCACTTGCCACAAACTCACGGATTCTCTGCAGATCTATTTATTAACTGATAGAACTTTAGTCAAATATACTGAAAACCTACCAATAATTAGAAGCTTGTAGAACAAACTATGAGCAAAAGAACTGAATCCTTAACATATAATTATCAATGATTCATCATGGCAGGGAGGTAAATGATACAGACACTAAAATCAGCTTCACATCATTACAAATAGAATCTTTAGAGAAGAAGACGAGGAAGATGATACCCTAGAATGCTCTTTTCAAATAAAGGGTTTTCTTTTGGGTAAATCTAATGTTCAAGGTTTTTTACAAGGTTAAAAGCTCATTAATTTAGATGCCACAATTTCCTAACTTTTGATAATAAGGTCTGTTGTAAGCTAGGTAGGAAGAATATTTCTTTCCCCTCCATAAGAAAAAAAAAAAAAAAAACTTTCCAAAACTTTGATTTGTTGTATGTAGAAATTTAAAAGGTATATTAACTATAAATGGTTCTTGCTATTTTTAAAGAAAAGTTTCAAAGGTCTCCTGTTTGGCTACACTTATGTTAGCTTTGCATGTAATAATACATTCTTTAAAATTACAGCCACGCCTTATTTACTTAGCACTGCTGACTAGACAGTTATAGTTAAGAGGGTTATCTACACAAAAGTCAGACAGAAGTTCAGTGGCTGGAAAGTTAGTACTACAAGGGAATTTGGAGAATTCAGTGTTCCTCTAACTCTGCCAATAAAATCTTGAGTTTCCTCTTAAAATTCATCTCCAGTTTGCAACCTACGGAAGAATGTGTGCATTTTGACATAAAAATATGTTCTCTTCAAAACCTCTGAATATGAGGGAAGGATCAGGAAGGTGTCCTCTGTTTTACTCTTGTCTTTTGACATATCTCTGAACCTTTGCCTGAAGAGCTGGTACAAAATTTTCATGTCTCCAGGATGTAGACTGAAAAGTAAAATGATTTGCCGTTTGTCAGAGTGCCAGAGCTGGAATCTGAGCTCCCAGGTGGCCAACAGGGTGCAATGTGACAAGACCACACTCACTCTGAGGGAATGTTTTTAACTCGTCCCCTTTATTAGAGGGGCCAGCCACACATCACATAGCCAAAGAGATACCTTAAGTTGTTTCTAGAGGGTTTCAGCCTCATAACATTTGCTGGCATTTGCCTGGATGAACTAGCAGATCTTGATACTCAAAAGACAGTTTCAAGTTGATACACAGGAGTGTTCCAGAGACATGGGAACAGAAATCCCAGTGGGAAAAAAGCTTGAAAAATAAGACACTTGAACTTCTGAAGCACAATGAAAACGGCAGTAAACAATTCTCAAGACAAAATTCTAAAGGAACAGGTGACAAGAATGTCCCCTCTTGGAGCCTTGATCAGACTGTCAACTTGAGGAACTTTTCAAGAAAGTGACTAGAGCAAAGGACAGGAAAGATGAAGGATGAAATCCAACAGGGTCAAGCCTGCAGAAACCAGAGTCTGGTGGAAGTTACATACAGGGGCTAGGGTATTCTCCTGAAAAGTTGTCTGGTAAAAAGGAGAAACACAGGAAAGCTTTTTTTCTAGATAAATCCAAGGGACCACCCCAGAGAAGTGGAAATTCGTCAGATGAGGGGGGGCAGGGGTGCACCTAAGTGGCACTCCACTCACAGAGCAACACGTGGCAGGAGCTGGTCCTGGGAGCGGGCAGGGAGGACTGCAGAAGAGCAGAGGGGGCTGGGAGACAGGCCACGCCAGACTCGAAGGAGCTCACAGCTCACGCACACGGCTGTGCTAGGGAGTCTGAATGCTTCCTTAAAAGGTTTTAAGCAGGAAGAATGACATACTCGGATTTCTGTCCTAGAAAGGTCAGCTACAATGGACAATAAGGACACTGATTAATTACGGCTTAGAACAGACTTTCCGAAACACTAGCATTTGACCCCCTCTGATTTTTGTCTTCCTGGCTGAGGCATGCGGACTTATTCATTGTTATCAGACAGAAGTTTGCAGACATTCCAAGCACACACACCACACTTCCCGCCTACATTGGATACTTCACTGATGGGATTTTAAGTAGATGTCAAGCCACCTTCCAGTACACAGAAAGGGAAATTTATGATCTGAAAGGTTTAACAATCTGGTCTGCTTCCAAGTGCTTTCTGTACTACATCACACTAACTCCTTTCAGCGTTTACTGTATGTAACAACCACTGAACGTGGAGATCTTTCTGAGAGGAGTACTGTACAATTCTATGTTTTGAGACAGCTACTGAACACAGTTTGACATTTGCTTTGAATACTTGGAGTCATTATTATAACCACTTATTACTAGTTTGAAAATTAACAATAATTCTATAATTTCATCCCATGGTAAGTCAATATTTCAATTTCCAGTTAGATATTCTGAGGGTTTTTATAAATTTTTTTGATCTGAATTGGATACAAATAAGGTCTACATATTGCATTTAATTAATTTTATCTTGAAATTTTTTTCCTTATTAACTCCTCTCCATTTCCCTCACTTTCTCGTTTATGTTTTGCAATTTATTTGTTGAAATGGGCTGTCTGACACATAGAGTTGTCCAGCGTCTGGATTTTGCTGACTACAAAGAAGTTGTTCTGTCTTGTAAATTGGCTTGTCTAGAGGTGTGATCAGATTCAGATTCAATTTGGGAAGGAGGGACAAGATTAATTCATGGTGAAGTGGGAGCTGTTTTCCATTACGAAACATACCTTTTTCTCTTTTTGTAATTATTTTAAGTTTTGGATGGCTGATACCTAGATCTATTAATTTGTTCATTATTCAAAAGTGGTGGGAAAAGTTAAAACTGGGTTTTTATAGGATGGCTTAAAGATATTTGGTTGTTTGCCCTCAAAGCAAATGATCCTAGACTGTTAAGTTAATTTAAACTGTGTCTTTGATGTAAATAGCTTGGCTACATCTCCCTGATTTGTCTTACTTACTGATGTTCTCAGTCCATCCTTGCCACTAGACAGCTCTTTCATCTTTTTGACTAGTTAATTCTAATTTGCTCTACCAAGTGGGGCTGGAAAATTACATTGTAATGAACAAAAAGTAAAAGAAACTAGAGGGTTCCCTTATCAGGTAAGCGCATTAAGCTATAGTTCACAGACTAAGTGACTTGCTATGTTTACTATTCAAGTTTAGGTGGCCTCTGGAATTAGCTTAGTGAGTTATTACTGTAGCAACTTTCCAATCTCTGGGAGGTATATTTCATCTCTGCATCACACTGGTGATTTTTCTTTCTTTCCCTGCTGTATCTCAGGCCTAGACCAGTACCCAGCTCATTCATAAATTCAGTAAAGAAGTGGAGAAAAACGAGAGGATGGCAGTGATACCTCCACGTTTCTGTGTATAAATCACCTTGCGTGGTGACACTGGATAAATTTCCCTAAAGCTCTATTTTCACTGTGCTCCTCCAAGGGCCTAATATTCCAAAGCCCTGACTCCCGAGTAATTTCTCTACAGCCACAGCCGTCTTGCTGCATGCTCACCTTTGATGGTCTCTGTCCTCCCAGACCCACTGTCCCCATCTGTCTCTCCTAGAAGTGTGTCCTTCTCCACTGTACCCGCCCCCCCCGCCAGCTGTGCTGGAAAGCACAGCACATCCTAGAGCCTGTACCCATAGTTTTATATTTTAACTTCAGACTAGCCATGTGTCCGCAGCGTGGTGACTCTGTCCTGCTGCAGAGACTTTTCCAGCATCCCATGGCGGGGTTAAGAAGATGGGTTTCCAGGCAACAGGTAAAAATGAGAAAAACTCAAAATTTTGTGATAAGAACAGCCTTCGTTCATGTAGCAAAGTGCTGAAGAGAATGCAGATTCCTGTCCACATCAGTCTGTTTGGCCACACGAAGTGCTGGGCTCTGGACATGTGGCTGGTATGACCAAGAAAGAGTAAAGTGTATTAAAGTTAAAAAGTGGTATGTGGGGCCCTCCCTGGTATGTGGTGCAATGGGTCAAAGCACAGCACTGAGAAGCTAAAGCCACTTTAGCATGAGTTCAATCCTGGCCCCTGAGGTGACCTACATGGCACAGCAGACCTCTCCTGACCCACCCGCTGCTCCCCTCAGCAGTGTACTTCATCAATTGGCCTGTTCTGCTCCCCACTCTCTCTGGTGAATCCTCTCACTGCCCCTGCACCTCTGGCAAGTACCCTAGGTCTGTATGCATAAATAAATAATTCTTTAAAAAAAAAAGTGGTATGTGATTCATACCAGTTTGTACTTTTTAGAGTGCATTTGGAATAATCTGAGTATATGAAGCTACTTGTTCAATCACAAATTACATGGAATTTAAATACAGACTGTTTCCAGTAAAAGCTGAGCTATAAGATGAGCTGTAAGGCTCAAATGCACTCAAGTTTTCAAAGTCTTAAAAAATATGTGACATAATTCAATAACTTTTAGAATTTAAAATTACATGTAATATAGTAAATATTAACAGTATATATTAAGTAATAGTAATACTTGGAAATGTGAGGTAAATATATTATTTGGTCAAAAACAGACATTGTTAAAAATTAATTTTATTTTCTTCTTCCTAGTTTTAAAGATGAATAGTAGAAAACCCCAAATTAATATTTGACATTCATTATATTCCACTGGATAGCATTAAAACAAAGACTCTTAAAGAAGAACCCCTCTTTAAAAGAAACCACGTAACTTTCTACTCCTCAAACTTCCTAGTGCACATTCAAAAGGGTTTAATACTCTCTAGCTACAGAGCAGTATAAAATCCTTTGCATAAATCCAGGAAATAACATCTCTCAACTCTGGGGCTATTTTCTAAAGTCAAATTGTTATTCATCTCAGTTATATCATCAATTCTCCTATACTTATTCTTTTCGCTCTTGACCAAACCAAAGCAGCTTCCAGAGATCATGGTCATACTTGGAAGCTGCACAACGAGGTCCCCTATGGCGGCTTTACCCAGAGTCTAGGAAAACTACAGATTTCTGTGGTCTTGGTTTTCAAATAGGTCTGGTAGTTTGGAACAACTTCCATGGCAGAAGCTGGGGGCATCCAGGACTCCACTCCACATGGTCCCTGAGTGCGGCAGCACATGGCAGTAGACAGACTGGGCTCAAGTGTCCAACTCAGTGACTGTGCATCTGATTCCAACCTAGGCAAGTCCTGAGGACAAGACATCACTATACCTCATAGGCTTTAAAAATTAAATGAGGTAACACACATAAGGTACCTAGAACGGTACTGGGACTACAATACGGGCTCAGCAAAGACATTACTGTGAAAAAATGCAAGGGCAGTGGGAGTCAGCAGTAGTGCAAGTAACCTTAACTTGTCTTGTTCTACTCCTATAACCGGCCTATCTTACAGCTAGAATTAGACAGTGTGGGTCTCACAA